CTCAGAAATGAGGCTTTTACATATGTGAACTTCAGTTCCCAAGAGTAAACCGAGGAATTCAAGCTTTAGCTCAGAATCTTCCCATTCATAGTGGTTGCGTGTGGAGAGACCCATCAAGGGAGCTTCCTTGATGGGAAGCAAAGCTCCCTAAATTCTTCTGAGTGTGTTCAGTCTGCTCAAATGGTGTGCATTAGATACAACTTTCATGGGTGTCCCATGAATACACTGTTTCCTCCACTTGTACATTAGGTAATTCTGTTTGTTGTAAGAAGCAGAGTTTAAAATAGAATGGTATGTAAGAATGTATCCTTCCTAAACACAAAGGTTTATTTGTGTCATAATAAAGTACAGGGCGCTAAGAATTTATATTATTAATGTTCTTCTTATGTATTTTTTCGTTGAGGTGGCTAATCATGTGACTTCTGTTTTTGTAAAAGTCTTCTCCCCCAACCCCCTCTTCACATTATTATTGATTGCTTGCATTTTGTCTCATTTTCTGGTCAGATAGTTTTATTTGCATTTCCAGTATCTGATTGTGTCATATTTCTGTAGCTTTTAATTAATATTTTTTTCTTTTTTCCTTCCCCTCCCCCCTTTTCTTTTTTACTGTACAATATTTTGTTTTCTTTCTAGGTCTGGTCTCTATTAACTCTCTGGAGTGCTAAACCTAAGAGGAGACTGTTAATAGCTGAGAGATCACCCTTGGCATACTTAATTGTAGACAAGTTGTTTGAACTTGTAACACTTGGAAAATGAAAGTTAATATATTTGTTTTGTTATTCCCATGGAAACAAGATATTTATAATGAGCTCCTAAAAACAAGTTACAGATATACACAAGGAAGCTGTTTCTTTGTAGCAGTTGCTTAATAGAAAGAAACTGGTTTGCTTGGAGGTTTTTTTGTTGCTTTTTTTTTAATTTTTTTTTTTTATTTCTTTAGCTCATGACCTCTGAAAAGCTGGTGTCAGGAAGGGGCTTTCTGAATGGGAGCAGAGATTAAAAATGGTGGAAGTAAACTGAGGGTACAACTGCCTTGTGTGTCATGCAACATTCTTAGTACTATCATTTTTCATAGTTAGGGTTGAAAGGAACTTTAAGGTCATCTAATTGACACACACACACACACACCCAACACACAGCATCTTTCAACTAGATCAGGTTGCTCCAAGCCCCATCCAGCCTGACCTTGAACACTACCAGGGATGGGGCTTCTACCACCTCTCTGGGTAACCTGTTCCAGTGTTTTACCATCCTTATAAAAAATTACTTCCTTATATCTAGTCTGAATCTATCTTCTTTTAGTTTAAAACCATTACCACTTGTCTTATTGCTACAGTCTGTATTAAAAAGGTCTGTCACCATCTTTCTTATAAGGCCCTTTTAAGCACTGAAAGGTCACAGTCAGATGGCCCCAGAGCCCTCTCTTCTGAAGGCTGAACAAGCCCAACTGTCAGCCTTTCCTCATAGGTGTTCCATCTCTCTGATCATTTTTGTGGCCCTCCTCTGGACCCACTCCAACAGGTCCATGTCTTTCCTGCGCTGAGAACTCCAGAGCTGGATCCAGTATGCCAGGCGGGGTCTCATCAGAGCAGAGTAGAGGGGTAGAATTACTTCTTTAGACTTGCTGGCCACATTTCTCTTGTTTCAGCCCAGAATATGATTGGCTTTCTGGGCTGCAAGTGCACATTTCTGGCCCATGTCCGATGTTTATTCCACCAGTACCCCCAAGTCATTCTCCACAGTGTGTTTTTGTGGACCTGAAGGGGGCCAATCTGTGGCTGAGTGTGTAAATCAAGCTATGTAAGTCAGTAGAGAGACTTTGCTTCTGTCTTTTCTGTGTATTCAGTCTGTTTTCTGCTCTGCATTCAAACCAAGACGCTGCAGTTAGAAGAAAGGGTAGGAGCATGCTGTCTTGCTGAGTAACAGTGATGACAGCAACTGCTCAGAGTTCTTTTGAACCTTCCTCTAGAGACAGGCTGAGCTGTAGCATCGCTACTTAAGTAATTTAGATGCTATGGTACGTAGCATACATGTACCGTACATGGCATACAAAAAGTACCAAAACATGTCGCAAGTTAATCAATTTCATCAAGTTCTTCAGGGGGTTCCACAAGGCTTGGCATACTTTGCAACTGCAGAATTTTTGAGTGAATTATTATGCTTTTCAGATAGGTTTGGTATTATTGTAATAGTTTGAGGGAGAGGGGGAAGTTTCTGGAGTATAGAAAAATAAAAGCCGCTTTATTCAGGAAACCTGCGTTATAGTTCCAAAAAATCCTTTTTAAATGTCAGTCCAATTAATTTCTTTTGCTGGCAAGGTCTGCCATGATGCATGTTTCTTTTTGGTCCAACAGCAATACTACATGGGTTGTATGTATATCCAATTTGTCGTATGCTGGGGAAAAGGAAAACACTCATTTGCTTTCCTTTATTAGTGTGACAAGGAAAAGACCAAATGCAAGAGTTAGGAATGACTGTATCTTAGACCAAAAAGAGATGTTTTTTTCCTTTTGGCACCCTTATACATGCATTTTTTTTCCTTTTAATGTGGGCGGGGGAGAGGAACAGAACAAAAAACACTCAAAACCAAAATATTTTCCACGTGTTTGTAAATATAAAAGGAGTCAACATGAACTTCAACAGATTTTGCCAAAAGTGGTCATTCCCTTTCCCATTGTGATGAACCTGACTAATAAACTGTAGCAATCCTAATTGGAGACTTCCAGGTAACAAATGTGCTATAGAAAATTGCATTTGAAAGATTTGTGTCTTAGACTTGGCTGGGAGTCTCTAGTGAAAAAGGGCCTTAGTGCTGTGTCATGCTGAAGCTTTGCAGTGATTGCTTATGCCATCTTTTTCTAAATGAGAGGCAAAACAGAATGAAGTCCTGACCTTTTGAGCTAGTTAAAAATTCTTGGACACATTTCATCAGAAGAGGGATGTTAATCCCATTAATGAGAATCCTGGAAAAATTCCAGGTAGTTAATTGCATTTTATTCCATGTGTCTTTTTGATTAATGAAATACTGAATTATATTCTTCATTTCCACAATGTTCTTTTACTAGCTAATTCCATGGGATACTTCAGCATATGCTTCACCTAAAGTAGAAAGTGGTTACAAAGATCAAAGTTTGGTCAAAAAAGAAAACCCAAAAGAAAACCACAGATAAAGTTTATTTCTGGCTAAAATAGGGAGCATAAGGGATGTAGGGATTTGCTATATGTTGTGCTGAGTTGGAGGAAATACAGGATATAGGAATGAATGGTGTGTAAAGAGTTGTGTTAGTGATGAATTTTATTGTAAATAACCATTTTCTCCTTGTTTTGAAAGCCTGGAATAAAATCTCATTTTCTGTTTAAATGAAATAGGAGTAACTTCCTAACTATTGCTGTTTAAAACCAAGAAATCTCATTTCCTCTTTTTATTAGTGGAGCTACTCTCCAATTGAGGGGAATTAGACCTCTTAACATGTCTAAGATCAGAGATAAATCAGTGATAGATAAATGGCTGTTTGTGATGCTTGAATAAAAATAAGATTTCTATGGGTAATTTTTCCAGCCCGAGATTTCTGTTTCCAGTGCAACTCTTCCCTATCCTTGCATCTGTCGTTTACTTCTTTAGAAACAGCTGTCACTGTTGAAAGGACTGGTTTGGGTTGTGTGTTGTTTTGTGTGGTTTGATTTTGTTTGGGTTTGTTCATTTATTTATTTGGAGGGGGTATATTATTTAAGATTACATCAGCATAAGTGTCAGAATATTTTTTGAAATTTTTTCTATTTGATCTGTTAAATTTTAGCTTAAAATGTATGGCTAAATTTTGGTGCATAAAGTCTTGTTCTAAAGATCAGAAAATCTGCAATTTAATAAGACAGGAAAAGGTGTGTTTTGTGTGTGATATAATTCATAGAAATAAAAATTTTTCTTTTTAAAATCATGAATAATCTCACTGATGCTGTGGCCTCATACCTGAATTTTAAAATGAGGAGCACTAGAAATAGTTTTATATTAGGGAAAATTACTGCATTATCTCCTGCCTAAACTGAATCTTTCAAAATTATAGAAAACAGACTTGCATTATTCTCCTTCTGGTTAAACACATCCCTGTAGTTAACGCTGAGTTTCTTATCAACTGAACCCTTTGACCTGATGGATTTAAAGATCTGCAGGAGTGGCTGTATAAATACATGTTTGTAAGTGTGAATTTCCCACTCTATTGTCAGATTTTCCACTGAAAATAGCTATAGCAAAATCCTCTCCACTAAAGTAAACCTACACAATTAATTTATTAGTGTGAAAATATGTGCTATTAGTGAAAACAACAGCAAGTCTTCAGCTCTGAATTTCGGGGGGGGGGGGGGCGTATGTGAGTGTATTGGACTGCTATATTGTGTTTTACATGAATCTGTGAATGTTTTGTGAAGTTGATCATCTAAAGGAAAACAGATAACTGAATTTACATGTATCACTTTAAAAATCCTCATTCTTTAATGGAGGAATTTCAGGTTTTGTAGATGCTTTTCAATAGTTTGCTTTACACAACAGCATTTTTCTTAATTTACTTGTGAATACATGAAAAGTGAATAACATGACATTACCAGTTATTCAAAGAGGAGTAAAAAAAAAAACAAAACAACTAAACTCACCCAAGATGCTTCAGTTTGTCTTTTACGCATCGAGGCCGTACAAGCAATCAACCAAACGAGACCATGAGTTTGATTTGATGAGCTGCAGGCATTCTGACACAGGCCAGGTCCCTTTATTTCATCTTTATTTCTAATCATTGATCAGGGGAAATTTCTAAAGCACTATCCTACTGATGTACATGAAGAAAGTGATGTTCTTGGGATATGTTTTATGTGACACCATAAACGGGCTGCATGGATCTTCCTGTGTTGCAGCTGCGTTGCAGTTTTATGTTGTTTGTTGTGGTATTCTGTTATTCTTGGAATGCTTGTTGTGCTCTCTTGTAATTTGTTTTAATTTCTGTGTGTTTCTGTAGAGGAAAGTCTTCCAGAACTATCACTTTTGAGCAGTTCAAGGAAGCTCTTCAAGAACTCTCAAAGAAGCGTTTCAAGGACAAGAGTGATGATGAAGCAGTTCAAGAAATATATAAACTAATTGAAGGAAAAGCCCCAATTATATCTGGAGTAACGGTATGTTACTGATCTAATGGATGCATTGTTCTAGCCATCCTTTGTTCTACTGCACTGTTGTTGAATTCACCTGCTTGCATTTACAATCCACAAATCCAAGCAGCATGCCTCCATGGGCCTGAAAGCAACAACTGTACTAAGCTGACTGGGAGCAAAGATTATGCAACAGCTAAGTATTGCACTACTGTGTGTTCTTCTGTGGCACTGTCATTGCTTCTGCTAGGAATCGTAGTACCACAATTGGGAACGGTCGGGAACATTCAAGGTGAGCTCCTGTGTGTGGTTAGAACGTAGAAATGTTCATCAGGAGCGGCATATCCAAATCAAAAAGTGTAGAAGCAAATTAAATTTAGAACCACATTAAACAGATGTGTGAAAAGGCAAAAAGACTAGAGTAAAGACATCCTAAGACAGATTTAATACGCTATGTGAATCCCAGAACACTGGAAATCTGTGCGTAATTACCATGTCTTTGGTTTTTTGCTTGTTCCGAGTATGTCAGAAATATAATGTTTTTTATTTTTCTTTTTTAAATGTTGGCATTAAATTGTCTATGCGAAAAGGAAGCCATAAAGCCTAGTGTACATAAATTTGATTGCCCTTTTAAATGCCAAAGTTAGGCAAGCTATAACCCTGTAGTTTAGGCAATGCTAGCGTGTTTGACATCAACTTGAATAGTCCTACCAGTTTAGTTCATCTGCTTAAAATTTGTGATCCTCCTGAATTTTGGCAGTAGAGCTGTGAATAAAAATGTAATTGTAAATAATCTTTCCAGAAACTGGTTCCATACAAATGAACAGTGGAAATGTCAAATGGGGAGATTTCTTAAGTTGTACAATTTGTCAGATTTTTACAAGATTTTATTTTATTTTATTACTCTGGTACTCTATTTTGAAACAAGTGACAGAGACTACAATAACGAACCTTCCTTTTTGTCTTTCACTCATTATAGTGAGTTTGAGTAACTTGTTCATCCATGAAACGATTCCCTGTTTGAATTGTGCACAATCTTCTGAGGCTCACTCTTGATTCTATTTTTTGGTATTTCAGCAGTCAGATCTTGAAATAATCAATGGCCGTTAATAAAGGGAAAGCATCTTTCTGCGTGGATGACAGGGTAATGAGAGAGCTTTGCAGATGCAGGATAGCATCATGTAGGTGCTTTAAAGGTATATAAATGTGCCCAGCAATAGGGGGAAGGGAATGGAAGAGGAATATGAGCTGGAAGTGTGAGGCTTGCCTGTACTCCTATTGTATGTGCAGTCCTGGGGAGAGCTGGAGAAGTGAAGAAATAACATGACAGCAGAGGAATCACAATATTCTGTCCTGCTTGCTGGCAAAATAAGGGGCAGGAGGCAGAGCTTAAAGGGAAGGAGATTGCAGGCTGAGGGGAGAACAAAAACTTTCTTTGATTTATAATGTTAATTTAGTTTCCAGGTGATAAAAATGACCCAAACAGTTGAATATCAAAGGCATTAAAATAAATAAATACAGGGCCACTCCCGCCCCAGCATCCAGGGAATACAAATACAAAATCTATATGCAAGCATTCTAATACCTTGTTTACTTGGGGAAGTCTGCCCTGGAAATTTTAAGTTGGACTGGTTAGAGTTATATAAAACTTTTCTTAAAATGTTATAGGATAACTCAGTCATGCCATGTAGTCTGTGCCTTGCTCTTCTATGTAGGCCATATAGATTTGGTTCAGGTTTCAGCCAGAAAACTTCAGTATGACTACTGACAGATTAAACATATTAAGGATGGAGTTGCAAGCATGATTATGTGAGGCTTGTGGATAAGTATACTATAGAGGCATTTGGAAATTTTTGTGTCATCTTATGTTTTGTGCTCTCTCTTTGGGGGAGGAGAAGAAGGGAAACAGGTGATGTATCTGTACTGAATGGCAGCCTGGGGAAACCAGAGCTTCCATAGAATGGTTGGACAGTTTACTTTCACATCAGATAATGAGGATTTTAGTGCATGTTGTGATAGAAGATTTACTTTTTGCTTTTCTGTTTTGTTTTTTTTTTTTCTTCTCCTTCAGAATGTTGTAGAATTACAAAAATCCCTGCTTATAGTTGATGTGGTTGAGAAGGCTCGGCAGCCAAACATTGAAACCAAGTGAAATTTTGGGCTGCTTTCTAATCTGCAGCAGAAGGTGTATGGTTGCCTTGGTCACACAGGAAGAAAAACAACAGGCAAGTGTTAGGCATTAGTTGAGACATAGCTGTGTTAGCTCATTTGATAGTCAACTGGTAACAGAATGTACAGGTCATATATCTTTAGCAGTTTACAGTCGGACATGTAAATGAAGTCTGAGGCCTTTTAGTTTCCCTCACTCCTATACAAAAGCTACAAGAGCAAGACTGAGGTTCTTTCTTTTTCTGTACCAAAAGCTGTGTGCTGTAAGTATGTTGAATGCATTTCTGCACCTCCTGTGGAGCAAATACTTGCTTTGGTCATTGCTGTCTCTTAAAATGAAACCAGTGTGTTCAACAGAGTCCTTGATATAGAAATGTAGAATAATTTCAATTGGAAAGGTTCTGGGGTGATTTCATTCAACCTGTTCACAGGAGGACTAACTTCAAAGCTAGATCAGATTATGCAATGCCCAGTTCAGCCAAATTTGCTGTAAGTGTTGTGGGTGGCAGGGCAGTACAGCAGCGACAGCACTATGAAAGCTGGGTGATGGGTGCTCAGCATGATGGTGATATGAGCAGGACTGTATTCTCGCAAAAAAGCACCTTTTAGGGAAAGAGCAAAGGAGCCAGAGTGCAGCTCACAGAGTGCACCTAGTGAAACATAGCAGTTGTTGCATGATGTTATCGTGAGATGTTTCTTATTGTAGGAAGGCTTTAGTAATCAGCGTAGCTTATGGCTGCACAGAATTTGTAACAATTGGGATAGCTTTCCTATTACCTAAAATTGCAGTTACCTGCAATTTTCAGTCATCTGGACCCTCTGCAGGCCGGGTAAAATTCTTAATAATCAGTGTGCCGTAGAATAATAATCTGGATGGTGACTTTAAAAAGTACATGGGTCAGTACATGAATCTCATAATAATAATAATTATGGAAGAGGTGTCATGATCCTCTAGCCCAGGGTGAGGGTGCTTCCCCTTTCCTCTTCCATCATTATGTGAGCATTCCCTGCTTAATACTGGGACGCGTGAAAGCCTCAGCAGTCTGTCAGCTTATGCTGGATCAGCTTCAAAAACCTTTTGGATAAAATGATGCATTTATACCTGTCAGGTTGGGGCATTGGACTATACAATTTCTATAACTTAGTGGATTCTGAAGAGGCTGCCAGGCAATCAATACGCAAGAATTTTGGTTGCAGGAGACAGCAAGCTGCACGTGCATAATGATCTTTATCTCTTCGTGTCCATTGCGTCCTGCCTACATGTTGCCCTTGCTCTGACATAATGGCACTGCTCCCAGCACACGTTAGGCCTTAGCATGAGCTGTGTGTTAGCCAAAATCTGAGCAACCGTTGAGTGAACAGTCACAGGCTCAATCCCTGATCACTGAGAGATCATGGCTTTTGTCATCCAGAATATCTCAAGTGCTGTTACACTTCCCTGTCACTGTCACCATATCCTGGCCACAGTGCTGTAGCAGGTGTCAGGAGCAATGGGTACCAGTCACAGATAGTTACTGGAGATTCCTGTTGTGGATGATCCAGGTATATATCTTTTGTCCCCACCATATGCCTCAGGAGTTTTGTTGTTTGGCAGGTGCGGGATCTGGGATTGTTGTAGATGGACTGCAAAGGTTTGTCCAGCATTCTAAGACTGACCTGTGCCTTGTCTTCCACATGGGTACCAAGAGTAGTGCTCCAAAGGTAACCTGGAGCCTGGCTCTATTGGCTTGTGTTGCAGAAGGGCTTTGTCTTCTGTAACCAGAGGAATGAGCACTACTGAGCCAGGGATGGAATAAACCTAATGCAGGGGAGTGTCTTTGCAACTAGGCTTGCACATCTGCTGAGGAGAGTGTTAAACTGGGTATGGAAGGTTGCCATAACCTGAAGAAGGAACGTCACATGGGGAGAGCAGGTGTGTCTATGTGACAGGCTTGACAAAGGAAGCAGCAGGATTTAGGGCCAATCTCAAATGCCTGTCCACAAAAGCAAGGGGAACAAGCAGGGTAAATTGCAGAGCTGTGACTTCACTGGGATTACGGAGGTGTGGTGCGACTCCAGCTCTTCTAGAATTGCTGCAGTGGATGGATAGAGGCTCTTCAGAAAATACAGTAGGGAAAATGAGGAAGTGAAATTGTGATCTGTGTAAAGGCTTAGCTTGACTGCATCTGGCTTTGCCTTGGGGCAGGGGGTGCAGCAGAGCACAGGCCAGCAAAGATGATGATATAGAAGGCTTCTCATACAGACCTACTGGTCATGAAGAGACCGATAAAGCCTTGTTTAGGCAGTTGGAAAAAAAGCCTTGTAGTCTCTGGCCTTGGTACTCAAGTTAAAATAACTGCAAGTGGTCCATAACATTTCTAAAATGAATTGGGGGGGAAAAAAAAAAATCTTAATGTGTATAATGAATGATTTAAGGAGATATTCTGGGCTTATTATTTACAATCAAAAGGAAGAACTGGTTTAAGATGTAAGAGCTAAGGCAGCCTTGGCTGCAGCAGCCAGGTGACTGGGAGTTAGATCTGGCTCCGGAAGGTTTAACTTACTAACTTCAGTTTGTTCCTGAAAGTGGCAACCTCTTAAAGTATTTTGGTGTAGCTCTAGCCAGACTACTAGTTGGTGAAAATTTTAGTCACTATATTTAATGTTAGGACTTGCAGTGTTGTAACTGGAAACCACTCCTTTGAAAGTCATCACCCTGATAATTAAAATGGTGTTACTTACTACTTTCTGGCTTTATTGAAGTGGGATTGCTTACTGCTTTCTTTTGTGCCTGTGTATCTCTGCATGCTTAAATGAAAAAATGTGAATTAAATCCAATTTTTCATTGAAGCTTGATCTTTCCTCCTGACTTTCTGCAGGTTTTCTTAATGCATGTGCACATATTCCCATTAATAATAAAATAATAAATAAAATCATTTTTGTGTGGAGTCCTGGTATAATCACAGAAAAGGAAAATCTGTCCCTGTAAGAATATTTTTTCATTCCCCATTTCGTAGTCAGTTTTAAGTTTTCTTTCTTTATAAAGGTCCTGGATGTTACCAGCAAAAAAAAATAAATATATTAAAAACCTTACTAGGATGGCTAATTTTGGTGCTGATTCTGAAGGCTCCCAGAACATTTTCTTACATAAGCAAATCTCTATGGCAACCTTTTCTAGGAAGAAATGCAATTAGATACTAAAGTTTTATGGTTGAAGGAGCAAACGTAAAAAGCCATGCAGTTTCAGTGAGGAATTGAGGAAGGATGATTACAGTTGACAGAGTGTAGCCATGAAGACCGTGGCTAAAATGTATACCCTTCCGGTAAGGAGTAATATTGGCACCTTACCTACTGAGCATCCACTACCATTTTCAGCAGTGCAAGCATTCCCAGCTGCTTTTCTACACAGGAGTACTGTTACTGAGTTACTGGTTACTTTGAAGAGCAGTGTTGTATCCTGAATAGCTAGCACCAGTATTTGCAGATCTGCCATCAGAGTGTTAATATGGATGAGTTAATTTAGCATGTGAATAATTTAAATTTACAGAAGTGAAAAACCAATAGCTGAAAGCCATTGTATGGCATGATTATTTTGGTTTCAACTGGGATAGAGTTATTTTTCTTTCTACTACATGGATTTGGTTTTAATCTGAGAACAATGCTGATAACACCCTGACATTTTAGTTGTTGGTAAGTAGCACTTACCCTGATCAAGGACCTTTTCAGTCTTTCATGCTTTGCCAGTAAGGAGGGGCAGAAGAAGCTGGGAGGGAGCAGAGACACGACACCTGACCCAAACTAGCCAAGGGGGTATTCTGTACCCCAGCACATCATGGCCAGTGTATAAACTGGGGGGAGTTACCCAGAAGAGACTAATTGCTGCTTGGGTTGGGTTGGGTATTGGTTGGTTGGTAGTGAGCAATTGAGTTGTGCATCACTGCTATTTATTGTGTTTCTTTATTTTCCCATTTTAGTTTTAGATTCTCTCCTCTTGTTATTTCGCTTAGCATTTTTATTATTAGTAGTAATAATATTGTTATAGTGTACTTTAGTCATTAAACCGTACTTATCCTGTGAGTTTCACATTCTTTTGATTCTCCTCCCCATCCTGTCTGTGAGTGAGCAGCTTGGTGTTACTTCAGTTGCCAGCTGGGTTTAAACAATGACAGAGAGCTGTGTTACTTTGAAAGCCTGAGTCTCACTAATGAGCATTTATTTGAGCTGAGAATGGGTAGAGTGAGAATGAAGTTTGTGATGAAAAATTTGTTTCATCACAATACAGAGCATTCCTATCACTGTAATGAATCCTAGCCTTTAGAATATATTTTTCTTTTGAAGCAGTGAATTCTAGCTGTATTGGCTTGCCTTTTCTACATTGCTGGAGGCGGCTTTTATGCTTTGATTGTGATATAATGGATTTTGAATATGGTTGTTCCCCTTGACTTCTTCATATCTTTGGTGCTTAGAACTTGATTATTAATCAGAAGTATCTCATATTGAAAGTCTTTTCCAGAAGTTTTTTGACATAACTTGCCCTATTTTGTTCTTGCCTATATGGTTGTCATTGTATGTAATGGCAAGAAACAAGCACTTTTTGTGTACTTTTTGCTGGAAGTGAGCAGTTATTTACATAGTCTCCATCATTAGCCATGATTTAAGTGTCAATAGCATGTAAAAATATCTGTATTAAGAATGACTGATTTCTGATGGATTTTTTTATTTCTTTTCTTTCTTCCAACAGAAAGCCATTTCATCTCCAACTGTATCACGCCTTACAGATACATCAAAATTCACTGGTTCTCACAAAGAGAGGTTTGATCCCAGTGGGAAAGGAAAAGGCAAAGCTGGCCGAGAAGATCTGGTGGATGATTCAGGATATGTATCTGGCTATAAGCATGCAGGCACATACGATCATAAAGTACAAGGAAGCAAGTAAGGTTGAGGGTTTACAACACAGAAAGAGAAAGAGATGGGGAAAGAGAATATATTTGTAAGAATGATGTAGATGAATCCCATATGTTTTGGTTATTGTGAATGCTTAAGACTATGTTGTCAAGAAGTTGTTTTCAGGAACTGGAACTGATTTCAACATCTGCTGAGCTACTTGCAGCACAACGCCACTTCATTACATTCCTCATGTGTATATTGGCAAAAATAAACATATAGGTACAAAATTTACATAATTTTGCTGAGTGTTAGACACGCACAAAAAAAAAAAAAAAAACAAGGAAAAACCACCCACAAAATTCAAGCAGTTATATCCACACTTTGTCAATTTAAGCAAAAGTTTTCAAACATTCCTAAATGTCTAGTTGCCCTGAAGATGTCAAAGAGAACCTCATGAAAAGAGGGTCTTTCATAGCAGCCTTTCTGAAGAATATCCCATTATTTATGCAGTTTGATTTGACTACTGGGTTTGGGCTTTTGAAAAATGTCTTACATGGGATATGGCACTTTCCTTAAAACATTCAACAATATGCTATTGGGGAGTAAGTGGTGGTAACATACAAGGTTCTAGCCTGTAAATGTCATATACCACTCATGAAAAAATGAAAAAAAAAACCCCACCCCTATTTCTAGGACAATATAGGTTCTAAAGTATTTCATGTCAACAGAAAGAGTGGAAAATACCAGCCCTTGTTTTCCTCCTGTCTATAATTTGTGCTTGTTACTGTATGTACTGTAGCACGGTTCTGACTGGCTGGATTTGGATGGGGCTACTGTACTAACCTGAGAGATGAGGAACAAGACATTACTAAGAAAGTCTACTAAAGCTTTTTGCAGTCTGTTTTCAAGTTTGCACTGCCTCACATTTGAAGTGAAGGGGGCATTAAACTAATAATGCTTTAAAATAATTATTATGACTAAATACTGCCAATCAGATTGCTATTAAATGAATGTTATTATGCACATACATTGCCACATATTCCCTTTAAGGTATAACTTATGTGAAAAAAGTTTACAGCCCATTGGAATAAGGACATTTATAATTAATATCCATGTAATCAGGTGCAGTTTGCCCACAAGAATATACTATTATGACTGGGACACATTTTATGTTAGATTGTTTGAAGCCAAGGGATTTGATTCTCTGTTCACTTTTGCTGCCTAACTTGGGAGTAATAATATTGATGGGAATGGCTTTCCACTGCTATAGAAGGAGAACCAATTCCACAGGTTTAAGGTACAAGCAGCTGAGTGTGAGCTGCCTGAGGCCCAGAATGCCAAAACACCTTAATAGGAATAAAAATAACTCATTTTTTATATTGGGTAAAAAGGAGAGAAAAGGCCGTTCTGATTTTCTGCAAGAGCTGAACACATACCCTAATGTATTACTCTGCTTCTCTAAAATGATGATTTTCAGTATTCAAAACCAGCTTCTATCACTCCTACTTTGCTTTCTTTCAAAAAGAGCTCATGCGCTGATTTTCATGTGTAACTCTGAATAAAGGTTAATAAATTTATACCTCTCCCCCAACATATATCAGCATCCCACTGAGAATACATGAAATTTAGTGAGCACTGTGTGCTGTCCTGTGCCATGCAAGTTAACAATCTGTATTTGGTCAATGTCCAGAAACAGAGCATTGCTTTTCAGTCCTTAAACTGTTCATGTTTTGTTTTTCTGACATAGAATGGTAGCTTTTATTTGTTACTTTGCCTTCAATGACCCTTTGAGCCCATATATCAGCCTGAAACTAAAACAACAATAGCAAAGGCAAGGACTTCCTTGTGAACTTGGAGATTGGTTTTGTTTGTTTATAACTTATTTTGGGTTTTGTTTCGAGGAGGGAGGGAAGCTTGCCAAAAATTCAGCTCATGTTCCTGTAAAGATTTAAATGGCTTTCCCATAGCTGGCTCTGGTTACCTGGAAAGATTTTTTTCATGTACCTAAGGATGCTCCGGATGAGAAGCATCCAGCTTTGTGAAGCCTTTCCTAGAGTTGCCCATTGTTCTTGATAAATTTCCATGGAATGAAGGATTATGAACTCCTGTGTTGCACTGGTTACCTGTCACACTCTGAGACAGAAGATTGCATGCTGTGATATCAGCAAATTATTCCAGTGTGGTAGTAAACTGCCTAAACAGAGAGAACCTTCTTCCACATCACTGGTGCCTGTGCACCTGAAGAAGGCGCCGGATTAGTCCTAGTTTTTATGAATAAAAAGGCTAAGCCTCTGACCTTTGATACATCCTTCAGCTAAGTTACAGGCAAAACCAGTGTCCCTGTTCTTCCCATTGACTATAAGACATGACTCATAACTCACTGATAACTGAAGAAATCTGGACCCAGCCTGAATGAAGGGTGAAGTCCAGTCTACTGCAGAGCCCTTTCAGCATGCTGTTTGTTGCTAGCTAGCTGCCTTGTGCGGCACATCAGGTGATACTTAACCTGAGCTACACAAGCAACAGGCTTTCTCAAGTACACAGATGCTGAGTGTCAGTAATGTCAGACTGTTGCTACATAGGTGTGATTGATTGGGAAGGTTTTAAAGTATATTAGGTTTTAAGTTGCTAGTTCATAGTGTGAGGGAGACCAGTGCACTCATAGAAGGCATGCAAAGGATTGAGAGTGAGGACAGATCCAGGCTAACCCTGACAAGAAATTGAGCTACTATTTGTTTAGGAGAAGCTGGTAGAACTAGCTGGGGTTCTGCCAGAGTTTACTTGGTATTATTTGTACAGTATAAAATCCCTGCCATGCACCAAAGCACTACGTGTGGACCTGATGCAAAATTTTTGAAGTACTTTCAGTTGTGTACAAACTTTGGATCAGGACCTGAGAAGATGCTTCAGATAGTAGTATTCCATTTTGAGGAACACACTTTCTTGTTTCTTCTTCATTTCTACAGTTAGACAGTTTTAAAATTCAATTGAACAGATGCATGAAAAGAGGTCAGTCTAACATGACAGTGACAAATAGTTGTGGCTGAAAAGTACTTTGGAAAGATTTTTTCCATTTTACTACACTTGGTGTGGAGGATAAAGGCTGTGAATAAAAGCACCATATGCACCTGTGTATGAGGGGTTTAGTCAGCTACTTCAGCTCTTACTTTTGCACTAAGATTTGCAGCAAACTATACCCCTAAATACTAGCTTGAATGTTAGCTGTAAGTTCTAGGCCTGCTTGGGAATGAGGCAAAGTACATTTTCTGGTTCATCTGCCATTCACTGAACTCTCAGGACAGCAAGTACAACTCAATGATGAGGGAAAGAAAGAGATCAGGAGGTGACCCGTTTTCAAGCTTAAGTATTGTAAAACATATGCTCTTCCTGTGCACCATACTTCAGACTATCTAAATGTCATGTCTGAAGTAAGGACATGGGCACCTTAATAAGGTTTACACTTTTTTTTTTTGGCATCTCAACTCATTACGTCTAACTTTCCTTTCTGATTACCAGCATCTTACACTATGCAGCACTCTTCTACACATCTTCTGTAGAATGCTTCCTAATTATCTTTGCTTTCATGCTTTCATTACTGCTGAACATGCTAACAAAAGAAATATAATCAGAAAGTTCAGGTAGCTTTCAGCAATAACTGCCTTAAAGAGCAAATTCAAATTATGCTGTTCATTTAAAATCAAACCCGTAAATACTATGGCAGTACATAATTGTACCTGTATCTCCACCTGAGGATTAATCTGACCATCAAAGTCTTTGGAAGATTGAGGACAAGAAGTAAAAATCCTCACTGAGGAAAAAACCTCATTGATAATGCAGCATTCAAATGTTTTTTATTAGTAGTGCTTGCTTACCAATTCCCTCTAGTCACTCCATGTGCTTTAGTTCCTTGTTGAGAGTTTTGTAACATACTTGTCAATATGGAAATACCAGAAACAAAATTATTGTTCTGCTTTTTGTCTGTATCAAAGCCATCACAAGAGAAGCAGGCATTAAAAACCGTACTGTTTCAACAGTCCTATGTGAACAGTTATCATTAATTGTAATCAGATATTTGAATATTTGACAGTGGCCAAGATCTAGCCACTTAGGGGTTTTTTTAGTCCTACAGTATTTCTTGTCTCCTTTTCACTTTAGGGAAGGAAAGAGAGATTTCAGAAGTACTCATGTGTCACAACTTGTGTTTTTCATCAGCATAGAGATTGTCTCTCAAAGATATTTTGGATTGAAGTATGATATTTCCCATATATTTTACTGACTTTACCTAAATTAGAAATTTCTCTGACAACTTTTTGGCATTATAGAAAGCTTTGTTCATGAACTACCATTTCAGTCACCCATATTTTCTCTCTGTTGGCTCAGGTAATATTTTTTATGGTAGCTGAAACTAGCCAGAACTAAAAGGCAAATGACTGCTATGGGTTTGGCTTGCAAGTGATAGGTATCTGTGCATCTGTAACCATCTGTAGGGAAGATCCTTATATATCTTTCTCTAAAACCAAAACAATAGTTGTAATTGATAGGGTTTTTTTCCTTAAGGCTTGACATAGTTATCAAATATATTTTAATTCTTTGTGCCTGCATGTATGCTATTCAGAACATAACCCTGCCTTTCAGTGATGCATGTGTTCTGTGGGCATGTGCCTGTCATCCATGAATGAGAATTCTGTTTGCACTGGTCAAGAAACAAGCCTTTTACCTTCATGATAGAGCAAATGTAATGTGTTGCACTAGTACGTGTCTTCTTAACTGACTGTTAACATGTGTGCCAAAATAATTGCACCTTTGTGTATATTGTTTGTAGTGTGACTATTATGGTCTTGGTTTGTCTATTAGTTGGTAATAAGTAGTGTAATACACAAGACTTGTACAGGTTGGTTTGTGTGTGCACATACTCTTTGGATCCAGCTAAGTAATTAAACCATGTAGATGTTGATCCAAACCTCAGATCTTACTAGGGCCAAATTCTAGTCCTGCAGCCAATGCTGTTTAGCTTGGCCAGTTGGTAACACTGACATTCGCCCTCCATAGCATGAAGGTAAAGATCTAACAAGGCTTCTATGTTTTTACAAGTTTACCCTGTCCCTATTTCTAGGGGAAGTCCCTCTTCAGTGATTCTGACATAGACTTGATGTGACAAGAAGTGTTTCTCCATAGTGAGAAAGTAGGAGTGAGAGTGAAGGCAAGATTTCTTCTGAGTGCTCTCAAGAGACCATTTAAAATTATGCCTTGCATGGGCCGTATGCTTTTCTTTCCCCCAACTTTGTGAAGCAAGTTGGCACTCACTATGTATACATGGAGTCGTTCATCATCAATAGGTATAAAGTCATGGTGTATTGAGGTGGGAACAAGAAACACAACTGTTACACAATGCCTATGGACTTGAGTCTTATATAGACTTTTATAAAATTAAATACCTGAACAATAATGACAGATCTCAAACTTGTATGAAATTCTCACAGTCTGGAGTGCCTCAACTTGATACATATATACCTCCTGTATTTGGCTGCTGTATTTGGAGTGTTTGCCCATAAAATAGCATTTAGATATTCAGTTACTTATTCTGTGCACCCCTAAATGCCCATTACCTAATATAGGGTGGGAATGATGGACCGGGATGTTCTTTTTAAGTCAGAATCCTAAAACTAGTGAGAGACCTTTGGCTGCATTAATGGTTGCCCATTAAACTCAAAAACAGTGCTTTGAAAGATGTCCCAGCTAAGAATGGTGCTTCAGGAAGCTAAAGAAACTATCCTGCAGATAGAAGCTTCACTTCTTAATTGTCCAAGTAACATAGTTTTGCAGGGAGAAATAACTGTAATATATTGATATTTTTTCATGGTTTTCAAAATCCATATGGAAAAGGTGGATTTTAAAACAAGTTTAAGATACAACTCTTTGTTGTCAGAAAAGATTTGAATTGGCTTGTTTTATTCAAACTGATTGATCATCAACTCAAGATAATCTTTGGCAAAAGTGAGCCTCATAATAAATAAAAGGAAAAAAAACAGCCTATTTGCTAGGTATTCTTGACAGACATTTGAAATACTGGTAGTCTGAAATTATTTTTGTTTGTAAATAAATTCTCTTTCATAATCATGCACATGTGCATGCACACATGCACTACTTTGGGGCATATTTATGAGTGGCAAGACTACAGAAGAGGCTTTTTTCCTTGTAATACCTTAGATTTGGAAATAGACATTGAAATGCCCAAGTGACTAACCTGATTTGGAAAAATGTTAAAACACCTACCATATTCAAATAATTGCAGATAAATAGCCAATGAATCAATTTTCAAATATAGTTCTACAGCATCTCTTTTTGTTACTGTAAAGCTTACAGCACTGAATGAAGTGAATTTTGTTGTAAGCATTTGTAAAGGTCTTAAAGATGAAGTTAGTCATAATTTACCCACCTTCAGTTTTCTTTATTCAAGATTTTTCTACTACTTGGCTCATTTTTCAAAACAGATCATGAACACAAATAAAATTACCTTCAAGTTAATTAAAAATGTATCCCTAAAAGTACACTCATTCTTCATCCATCTTTACATTTTGATCAGGAGCTATAATATCAATGAGCAACAAAATAAGAAAAAAGATGGCAATTTGTATCCCCACAATGATGAATTATTTTAAGTCTAGTTTACATCAGATGAATTTCTGTATGCTTGCATTTGCTCAATGCATTTTTTTTAAAAACAAAATAATTAAATAATGTGAAATAATGCAGCCTGGGCTCTGTTAAATAAGGTTATATTAATGCAACTGAAATGCTGTATGTCTGTAATATTCATGCTAAATATATACTAGCTCTTTACAAAGGCTTTCTATAAAGTCAGTTAACCTACGGTCTCTGATGTTCTGTATGAAATCCTGTTGGCAAACTGCTTCTGTTAGCACTGTAGTGTATGAAATGCCAAGGTTATAGACAAAACAAGTTACAGAATACAACAGAAGTGTATTTGTGTTTGTCTTTGTGCTGAATTCGGAATACAGAAGCTTTGCCAAACTACTGCAGCAGAGAAAATGTTTTGTGTAATGCTTATAATGCAAAGTAATTTGTCTTATATTCTGTAAAGCAGAAAAATCATCAATGTTTGATAAGTATATTGAAGTTTTAGCAAGGTTTTATGTTTCACAGATTTAAATATTAAAGGAGAAATATATATTTATATAAAAGTATAATTTTTGAATGCTTGAGGTTGGATTTCTTCAGTCATGAACCATTTATTTATCCACATTATGCTTTATTCTTTTGCTAGCTTGTTTATCTGTCCGTGCTGTTCCAACAACTATTTGTAATTTGGTTTAGATGGTTTGATTCTTTATTTGCACAAATATGAATGTGCATGCTGTCTGGACCTGATCATAAAGTGTAGAGGCAAAACTGTTCTGTCCTTGATTACCCAGAGCACTAATAAATATTTAATCATTAAATAGTTGTGATGCAGAGATAGGTCTTGACATAATCTTCCTTGGATCACTGTGCAGTATGATAAAAACTTTCAGTGAATTTTACTATTTCTTGTTCCTATTTTCATTTGTCTTTCATCAACCAGGAAGCTGCTGTGTGCTAATAATTACCTGCAATATTTGTAATTGCAGGCATTGCAAACATTAACATTCAGCTGTACTAGCCTACTGTGTTCACTGTGAAATTTTCAACATGGTAAAAATTTTACATGATCATTTAACCTTACAAGTTTACTTTTTTCATCACTAATTTAACACTGAAACCTTATTTTGGTTTTTTATTGTTTTGGTTTTTTTTTTGGTCATTATTGCAAATGAGCATAGCATTGCTTAATCTTAACTATAATAGATAGACATATTCTAAGCAAAGATTTTTTAACCACTTGTTGAAGGGGCCAGGCACCATCCAGTGCAAAGCATGCTGGGCAAAATCTTATCCCCACTGCAGTCAGTGCCAAAATTCTAACTGGTGTTAACAAAAACAGAACCATTGTCACCAAGGGGTTAATATGCTTAGTAACCATGACGAGAGGTTATGGAGGAGCACAACAGTGATTCTCTATTTCCATATCTTTGTTTCTGTTAATTTAAAACTACTACTATTCAATCTTTAAAGTAAGTAAAAGAAACTTGAAGGGGGGATCATATACTACTAGTTTGTATTAGTTTTTTTCAGGAAAAGGAGACAAATTTATATATATATATATATGCTATATATTTTTACACTGTTTATTAATGCTAGAAAGTATTAAATGTATCACTTTATCAGTGTGAATGTTAAAGTAATGACAATGTTATGGATGTTTTAAACCTTTTAGAGTTGTCTTCTTAAATTCTAAACCCACATTAACAATGGAAAAGCTACTTTGTCTGCAACATTATTGGTGGTGTTTTAGGGAAAAAGTTCAAGTACAGCAGTTGTTCAATTAGCACTGTAAAAGCTTGGCTTGAAAAATCTGTAGTGAAATCCATATTGTAAACACCATTTTTTAAAGCATAGCTTCTCATAAAGTACGTTACTGCTGTTACTGACTGTATAAGATTTTATCTTTAGTTGGTAAAGTGATCAATAAATGTGTTACTACATCAGTTCCTGGATTTTTTGAAGTAAATGGTATTTGCTGCTAAACTTTGTTACCAACCGTTATTTTATACTTTAGATGTTAAGCTAATTCTTAATGAATGTATAAATTACACAAAATACTCTCTGAACCACCCCCCTGTGGTTCTGAGTAGAATGCATTTCTTCTTCACCATTTATTTAGCTAGTTGTGATAATGAGTAAAGCTGACCATTAACATTTTGCGAACTCTAGTATGATCCATGATGATGATCCGCTAATTGAGATGTCAGTGATGAAACCAGTTATTCTTAACTAATTATGTAACATATATCTGTCCTCAGTTTCAAAAGCCTGAGTTTACTCTTCTTACTTTCTCAGTGGAGTTGAAAATGTTCTACTTGCAAGGAAAGTTATTTGCTACACTGACCATTGTTTTAAGGATGTTACATTCAAAAGCAAACATAGACCTTTTATTCATAAATAACAATATTCTTCAGCTTCCCAGTAGAAATAACACCCAAGATTTTTCAAGGAACAGAAGACTGAAGTTACTTAATTAAACTCAGAACATCTTAATAACATAATAATGTTACAATAACCCAAGCACAGTGCTGCTCTAGTAATGTAGAGGTACTGGATTAGCAACTACAAGGGAACATTACTAAACAGCTTACAGCTACGCTGTCTCTCCTCTAGGGGTTCTAATTGGAAATGGTGTTCTCTCTGCTAACACACTAGACAACCTTCTTTAGAAATGCTTTTTAAGTGAAATTTAATAGAGTTGTGTCCTGAGATAGCTTCTTGCATGGAGATCATACACTGTTTGTAGTATGACTGCCAGACAAAGCCCCCTTTATCTCTGAGCATGTATGGTTACTGAAACTGTAAAAAAAACGTAATGAAACAGAATCTTCAGGGATTACTAAAGGAAAAGTCAGGGTTTTTTTCCATTCAAAAAACTTTAAAGGGAGATAGTACCCCTTCTGTCTGAAGAGAATATAAGACACTTAAATCTGTATTTTCAAAAGAGTTGAGGTTTTATTCTCTTCCTGTAGAGCCTTTAGAAATGCCACTTACGCATCATGACTTTAAAATAAAAAGTAAAAAAAAATCTACCAGGATGTATTCTCTTTACTCCAGAAATAGAATTCTTTGGGCTCAGTTTTGTCTGTGTGTAGTTACTGTGCACTGTAGATTGTGCATGTAGAGATAGCCCTATTGAGATGGGTCTGACAGAGTACCACCTAACCATTGCTGCGTTTCTGTTCTAAGCTTCTAGGACTGACTACTCAAATCAGCATCAGTTAGGTCTACTACTCTCATGTCCATGCCAAATGCAATTGATCTCTTCCGGTTCTACTAGGTATCTACCACAGCCAGCATGGCATGGAGAAAGGCAGAGCGGGGAAAGGTGGGGAGAAAATAAAGCTATCTCTGCCAAATGAAAGCCTTCAGGGGACTCATAAAACTCATAAAACCTAGTTTTCTAGTTAGAATTTTTTCTTTTCCTCAACTTCCCATTTAACTTGCTGCACTGCTTTATTAATAATGTAAACTAACCCAGGCTCATTGAAATTTACTGCTTTGGTTCACATTTCAACCTGAAGTTTATTCCAGGTTTACATCACTTTATTTCCAAAACTGAGAACTCCAGAGATTACACAACCATCCAGGGGTCACTTGAGGGCTGCAGGGGTTTTCAGGAATGAATATAGGAATATAAGGAGTGGCAGGGATAGTAGGAAAGAATAGCCAGCTGGGACTGCTGGAATGAATCTTGCTTCCAGCTAGTGCAAGTATGCCTTTCCTTTTCAGTGGAGAGAAGGTAGTCAATCCCTGATACTACATGGTACTATAGAAAATAAAATACAGGTTTTAATCCCATTTTTACTTGAGTTCCGTGACCACTGTAACAGCAAGAATAACTTTGTATGTGGAACAGAAATTGGCTAGCATGGAATATTTTATCTGAGTCTGCTATCTAAACAGCTCGTGTACCTGGGATCATCTAATTAAGTGTGTTTATTGGAATGGATAAGACTGGATACTCCTGTATACATACATGCATATGGCGTCTAATTGCCATCAGCTGAAGTCAGACCATGGGTCACAATAGCCAGTGATACCTGTGGTGCCAGCAATTGAGTGTGTGAGGCTCTGTACTGGGAAGTGGATCAAGTGAGAGGATGTATACTACCATGTGACTGCTACCAAATACCAAGCTGAACCTACTCAGCCAGTAGGTTAAGAGGCTTTAGCCTCAGTTACCAAAGCAGCCATAAAACTGGGCCAGGTATGTGTATATCTCTCAGACAGCTCGAAGAGCATGCTAGAGGGTATCAGGCAGTCCCAGCCAGCTACTGGGAAGACCACAAGGTCTGAAGGCATGTGTCTCTAAGCAGGAGGCAACTGGAGATGTTGGAATCCAGGGGCAAGTTACTGAGTTGGTTGCACATCTAAACCCAGTTACTCAAGAGATTCACAGTGTGTGCTGGTGTGTGTGAGGGTGAGGGAGAAGTGTACCAGCAGCTGAAATGTAGATGTGGTCCTCCTAGGCTTGCGTATACAGGTGTCAGCAGCAAGGGAAAAGAGGAATCCAGGTGATCGCTGTTTGATAAACTGTCTGGAGGGAACCACACTGAATATATGCATGTTTCCTACTAACAGGTCTTCATCCTAATTGGCCAGAGACAGGCTATTGGTGCTGATTTTGGTTTTGTTGGTGGTGCTGGCTTTGGTTTTGTAACTGCTAAGTGTTTCTGGCTATGTTGATCAACACTACTGGCATGAAACTTTACCTTCTTTGCAGTGTTACCAACATCTGTTGTTGCTATATTGTGAAAAAGCTGATTCATTGTGTTTCTTAACTGATAATAACTCCAGTTAAACTGCTCAGCCTGAGTCTTGTGGCAAGTGCGTGTCTGCTAAGTCTTGGTAGAAATTAAAGTTCTATAAATTAAAGAAAATCAGGCAACCAATTTTGTTCATTTCCCCAGCTAAATTAAATGATCTTTTTAAAGTTTCCTTTCAGTAGTATTTTGGTCAGTTTAGTGTACTTTATTATTAATAAGTTGAACTTCTACTTCAAAGCGAACTTTTTAAAGGAACATTTCTTATAAATTACTCAGTCATACATTGATATCTATTCAGTAAGAATAGTTTCCACTTGTTGAAGTCACTAGACCAGATGCAGTATAAAATATAAAAAATACAAATATAAAATTTATATTTGATGTTTACATTTAAATATAGTGTATATTTAGCTATATGTATTAGTATATATAAATATATATTTTTTAAAATTTATGGTTTCTATAAGATTCTGGCTTTGCTCCAAGGCACTGTCACCAGCACTAAGTGATTGCTAGTTGTCTTGCTCCTCCCTACAAAGGGAGTATTGAAGAAATAGCAAAGGTGCTTGAACTTTGGACATAAATTAGCCTCAGATCTGCAGGGTGCTTATGACTGAATGCTACACCCTTCTCAATGCTACATGAGTATCACAGATCTCAGTAGGTAACTGTCAAAGCCTTAACTTAACAACAGTCTTACCATTAAAAGTTGAACAAATTGTTACTCCTGCAGGAGATACTGACTGCAAGCCTTTGCAGTGAAGATAAGCCTGGAGCTCCTTCTGGTTTACAAGTGTCTAGAAAGGAGTATGACCAGAGGGTAACAGCCTTTAAGAGGTAAGATAGAAAGTGATGTTGGTGATGTCAGATAGTAAGTAGTATTTTGCATTAATAAATACTGCACTGATGCAGAAAATCTGTATGGCTTAATGCTTGGATGGGTTAACTGACTTAGGGTTTGGGTGTATTTTAACCCCAAAAGCTGAAAGGCAAGTAGTCACCTGGCTTAAAGTAGATTCTGTGAATAGCCATCAATGAGAGAGAAAGTCAGATGCATTCTCTGGAGTTTTGCTAAAGCCTCATTCAAAGCTATTACAATGTAAAGCTGTGATTTTTATTGCCTTCAGTGGGCCATTCATTCATTCAATCATAGCATTTTTGACTGAGGCAGATGCCAAAAGCTAATGCAATATTTCTATTGTACTTTACTCCTGGATTAGCAAATATAATATGCTTATAGAAAGTTGAGATTAATTTTAATGGAGGAAATAAGGGATTGGAGGGCAACAACATAACAAAAATAAGCAAAATAGTGGAAACTTCAGATAAAAGAGTAGCAGAGAAAGCTGGTCACAGCAAAGTTAGAGAAAGCACACAAGAACCAGCCTGAGGACTATGCATTTAGTAGAAAGGCCATCTGTACATGCCTGAAGCTAACTTTTTCATGGAACAAAGTGAGATGTTTCAATAAGCACTTAGAAATTTGTCACAAAGTGTCTGTTACTGGTTTGAAGCAGCATAAAGTTTGAAAGCTAGAAGCCTTAAGAGGTTTTATGTATAACATAAACAAACACAGTAGTCTTTCTGAAAAGACAGAACTGCACCACAAGAATTGGCTAATTTGCAACTACTGCTGAATGTATCAGTGAAAAAGGAAATGTGTAAACAGGTACATAGTTAAGGGGTTAGGTTTTTTAATTGCAAGGACAGATATGCTGGCACCTGGAAGAATGGTATTCACTTTATCGGATGAGTTGCTCAGTCTTGTGAGACAGTTGCCCTGTTGACCATCACCAGATGGATAAAGAAGAAGAACCTATTTCTAGCAGAAATATAAAACTAAGCAAGAATTCGTCCTTGTTTGTTTTGTAAAACATTTTATCTACAGTCTTCTTGACAGAAGTCTCTATTAGGAAAACCCTGCAATATCACTTGACATTAAGATACAAGTACCCACATTCCATGGAAAAATCCCATCTGTTTAGATCTGATTTTTTTCAGAACTACAGGAATGACAATTGACCTTAAAATCCTGAATTTACATGGGTTTAAATCCAGAAACAAAGCTGCAGTAAACAAGGGTATTTTCTCCTCTGATTGTTATGGCTTATTATATTCCAGCCTTCTCAGCTAAGGAATTTTCTGCCCTCCTGTCCCTTCTTCTTATCCAGCCT